GCTGGGTTAAACTGAAATTTAGAGGAATTGGGGGGCAGAAATAAATTTTAGAAAAATGTTTGTTTAAAAGGGGAAGGGAACTGGGCAGTTCGCCCAAAGGAAGAAGAAGAAAACGAGAGGAGAAGAAAGAAAGAAGAGAGGAGAGAAAGGAGAAAGAAAAGAAAAGAAAAGAAAAAAAAAAAGAGGGAGAGAAGAGAAGAAAGAGTGGTTTGGCCGAGAGATAGAGTGAGAGAAGAAGAGAAGAACAAAGAGAAAGGGAGAGTTTATTAGTTTTAAGTCTGTGAACAGTGGATCATCAAATCGTGATCTGGAGCTCATTCGCCGTCCGATCGTGCTGATTTTCGGATATGTTGTTCATGAAACACAGCTCTACATTCTGAACGGTGGAGATCGAAATCTAAGCACTGTAATAGGCAGCCAATTATAGGATAGAAGAGTGAGTGGATCAACCAAAAAGTGTTTTTAAAAAAAAAACTTAATTCCGGTTTGCATGTCAAGTTATCTATTTCTATTATAATGTTTTGGGTGCAAAATCTTGAGTTAAGTGTTTTATTTGCTAAAACTTATCTTGCATGTTTCGGCTGAGCAAAGTTTTGGGTGATAATGAATTAGATCTTGTTCCAAACTAATAAGCTTTCATGCTGCATGTTAATTAAATATATGTATATGTCTGTCCCATGAAATTTGATGTTGATGGCTGCTTGATTTGGGGTGTGGTGGCACTATAGAGAGAGTTGGGTTTCGGCTTATGTTGAAGGGTGGAGAAAATCATATTATGCAGAGTTTGGTAACGGGAAATGTTGGTGTTGGCTTATTAAATTGTTGAATGGAATATATATATTTATTTAGAATGAGACTTTATCATATAATTAACTCTTTTCTTTTTTTTATATATACACATATAGGTGTATAAAGGTGCATTTGGTGTTCTGTTGAAACATGTTTTACAGTTTACATTTTCAGCCCTATATGTGATTTTTGAATATTATGTCGTATATGCATGATTTATAAGCGCATAGGTAATGTGTTATTGACTTATATGTTACTGAGATTATGCATGAGATTGTTATGGTGCTAAAACCACCCTACGAAGTACCCATCCCCCAGAGATACAGATTTTTGGCTCTGCCCGAGCGATGCAGGATTCCGCTGGGTATGACAGTTTCAGATTTTGGCTCTGCGCATGCGTATGACAGATTTTATTGGCTCTGCCTGGGCGTTGAGTGGTCCGCCAGGTATGACAGTTTTTGAGGCTCTGCCCGCGCGATGATAGACCTTGCCGGGTATGACAGGTACGTCCCTCGCTCTGCCTGCGTGTGGGACGCCCACCAGGTATGACAGATTTCCCCCAGGGTACTAGTTGTGGTGAGAGTTTTAATAATAAATGTTGAGGTTTTATACAGAATCCGATACAGTTAAAGGAAGTAAGTCAGAGTACAGTTTACTGAGTGCAGGATGATTAGAAATAAATTGTATATTGTATGCGAGAACGGGGTGGTTGTTCTATTGCATATTCATAAAGTTACATTGTTGCCATGATTTGCTTGAAAATTGTTGTATGTTAGCATTATTCTTTTTTTTAAGAACTTTTATAAACCTCCCCCTTTTTCCCCACTCACTGAGTATTTCAGCTCACCCCTTTTTAAATGTTTTTCCCCCCACCAGGACCTCCCGGAGATCGTGCCGAGCAGTGAGCCTCCGCTCAGGGTTGTGCCACGCGTTGACATCTTTTATGTGGGTCTTATATTTATGTCGCATTGTAAATCTGGACTTTCGTTTCAAGAACTCATGTTTTCCATGATGTATTTCCTTTTGTTTCATATTTTGGAATGTGTAGTATAAGTGGAAAACCTGATACCAAAAGTTTCCCTAACTATTTTCTTTTGTAAAACGAAAGATGATGCATGTCTTTTTGAGATGTTTGGAGATGGAAATACTATGATGTTATTCAGGAAAAGTATGGCTTTAAACAGGTTTCGCAGTTTTTCTACATGGCACGTCTCGGGTATCCGAGTCTTGTGGGAGCGCCCGGATCCTACGGGATGAGGAAATTCGGGACGGGTTGTGTCAAAATTGCTCTATAACGGTAATTTCCCAATTGTAAAATCTTAGATAGCTGAGGGCCTCTCTTTTATAATTATATATCACCCAAAAGTATAACCTTTGCTCACAACGGCAAGCCATAAACCACCACCATGAAGCCTGCGAGAACTCAATCCCATTGATATGAGTTGGAATACAGAATATGGTAACTGAAATTTATTATGAATAAAAAACTGCCACGTCTAGTTTTTCATCAAAAACCTAAAAATGTGTAGCTTGAAATAGATCTAATAAAAATTTGGACCAGCCAAGAAAGACTAGGCAAGACCGCTCTTGCCAGTATTATGTTTTCCAAACTGAAGCTGTAAAAAGGTACTTCGATTTCCAGGCTTGGATCACTGTTGGTGGCCAGCCATAAGTTACTATCAATATCCTAAATACACTCTACCCAATGGAAGAGAAGAAGGAGAAGAAGAAAGAGGAGACAGTGACTCTAACGCCGTGGCCAGCCATAAGTTACTATCAATATCCTATTCATGAAGCAGTGGCATCCATACTCAACTAGCTTTTGCACCGTTTTGTAATCAACAGTAATTCACTGATATTGAGCTCGAATTAGCATCCTAAGCTCATTAGGTCCTTACGGTAGTAGAGCAAAAATACAAGAGGGTTTTGGGCCTTTGACGGAGTTGCAGAAGCTGCTTCCAGTGCATGCAAATTCTGAAGTACATAATGAGCTTAGAATGCTAAAGCAGTTGAGAAAGTTGGGCGTTAGGCTTGGATATAGAGATGTGAAGGATCTGTTTTATGTTGTCCAGAGTATGGAAAACCTTGAACGGTTGAGTACATTAGTGCTGACAAGTGGTGAAAGTTTTTGTTCGTTGGGTGTATTGATGATGTTAAGATTACTGGTGGCTACAGAATTGAACTTTACCCTCTTACAGTTTCTTCTGTCTAGCCCTTGGTACTGATATTTTGTTAAACATTAATCAAATCGTGCACATTTGCAATGTACATTGGATGAAGTAGTTGATAATTTCAAACCTTTATTCTCCTTGCTGAAACTGAAACTTCTTCCAGTAAAGTATACACCTCTTGGAGAAAGCTTTGCCTATAAAAAACAGGGTCCCCTGTTTTCCTCTGTTTTGTTTTCACAAAGGGCTCACAAATTTCTTCCATCCACATCTTTCGTTATCAAATTATCCAGTCCAATTTTGAACATCTTCATGGTACTTTTGCCTTTTGCCATAATTAATTTTAATATGAACTAGTATGATGGGATCTGGTATCAAGACAGGGAGTTAACATTTAAATTCACTCGTAATATGAACTGAGATTGTCTTGTTTCTGATGTTATAGTTGTGTTTGTTAATTTATATCCACTATGTTGTTCATTGAATTCTTTTCTTTCTTTTGGGTTTCTATAGCACTTCTGTTTTACTCTATCCTCATAGAGAGCTTTTTATTTGTATATATTCCCTAAAGAATCATGCATTTTGAGTGTAATAAAACTCATATAATGTTCTCCAAGGTAATTCAAATGAAAGAGTGAGCATCAGGCAGGGCACAAAACAAGAACTCAAAATTAAGATACTTTACTTCAAATCGCCAAAAGATAAATAAAGAAAAATTCTTTTCCCTTCCAAGTTCCAAGCAATTCCCACCTTCTAAAAACTAATATGTTAAGGCCAAAGGATGTCCCCTCTGATGTCGCTTATACAACTTGGCTTCTTGTCCCAACTAAAATTCTGAACTATTCAATATTTCTAAAAGCTAAACAATTGATAGTTTGAATTTTGTTTGGAGACCCAAAAAATTTTGAAGGTGCCAGATTTCTTCTGTTTCTGCAATTTTTTTTTTTTTCTTGGGTTTTGTTATCTTTTCTTTAATTTTGACAAATGTAATTAAGTTTTAACTTTTTTTTTTTTTTTTTATTGAATTGATAGGCCTCTATAAACAAAGAAGAAGCAGGTGTTTTTTCTTAGATCACATTCAAATATCATCCAATAAGGCCTTGTTGAATGGGAGGATTACCCCCTCTTATAACCCAATAGGCTTGAGCGTGCCTAATCGATGTGGGACTCCAATACTCCACCTCACGGTCAAGCCCATATGTTGGGTCATGCCTGTTATTGGAGATAGTTGTTGGCTCTAACTCCTCACCCGCTGGTCAAGCGCTCAGCTCAACTGAACCTAGGCTCTAAAACCATGATAGAATTTGAGGTGGGCCTGACTCCTCACCCAATAAGGACCCAATAAGGCCTTATTAAGTGAGGAGTCAAGCTCATCTCAAATTTTATCATGGTATCAGAGCTCAGGTTCAGTTGAGCTGAGTGCTTGACCAGCAGGTGAGGAGTTAGAGCCAGCAACTACCTCCATCAACAGGCATAACCCAACATATGGGCTTGACCGTGAGGGGGAGTGTTGGAGTCCCATATCGACTAAGCACGCTCAAGCCTACTGGTTTATAAGAGAGGGGTAATCCTCCCATACCATGATAGAATTTGAGGTGGGCCTGACTCCTCACCCAATAAGGCCTTATTGGATGAGGAATTAGGCCCACCTCAAATTCTAACATGGTATCAGAGCCCAGGTTTAGTTGAGCTGAGTGCTTGACCAGCGGGTGAGGAGTTAGAGCCAACAACTACCTCCAATACCAAGCATGACCCAACATATGAGCTTGACCGTGAGGGGAAGTGTTGGAGTCCCACATTGACTAGGCACGCTCAAGCCTATTAGGTTATAAGAGGGGGTAATCCTCCCATTCAACAAGGCCTTATTGGGTGAGGAGTTAGGCCAACCTCAAATTCTAACACTTCTCTCATTTTGTGAACAGAGAACACTCAAATATCTCTAGTAAAATTCGGCACATTTCAATACGAGGAAGTACTGATGGTGTTCTTGAGAGCATCACGGACTCAAAGATACGTTTTGTTTCTCTTTTCAATGTTGATAGGATGCCAAACTCTTTCTTGACTACACTTGTTGTGGATTTCAAACTTATAAAAGTACTTGATTTTGAAGATAGTCCTATAAAGCATCTTCCTGAAAGAGTGGGGAACCTCTTCCGTTTGCACTACTTAAGTGTGAAAAATACAAAAATAAATGCACTTCCCAAGTCCCTTGGTAAGCTTCTCAACTTGGAGACATTGAATTTGAAGTGTTCTCTTGTCACTGAGCTTCCTCTTGAGATCAAGAATCTTAAGAAATTGCGTTATCTAGCAGCATACAGTTCGAGCTTGAATCGTAATTATGAAGGAGATGTGAAAATACATGCGGGGTTTAGTTCTTTAATGGAGTTGCAAAGGCTAATTTTGGTGGAAGTTGACTTTAAGGAACTCAAAGAGCTTACAAAGCTAAGGCAATTGAGAAAGTTAGGAATTAGGCTCACAAATGGAAACAAGAAGGATCTATGTGCTTGCATTGGAAATTTGGAAAAACTTGTATCTCTGACTATACTGTTGACAAGTAGAGAAGAAATTCTTGATATAGAATCGATTTCTCCTCCTCATGGTCTTCAGCGCCTCTACTTAACAGGAAATATGAAGAAGCTACCATATTGGATTTTTAAACTTGAATATATTGTCAGAATTGGTTTGGATTTGTCAGGATTAACTGATGATCCCATGATAGTCCTTCAAGGCCTACCTAATTTATTGGAGCTTAGGCTATGCGAGACATGCCATGGTGAGCAATTACATTTCAAAGAAGGTTGGTTTCCAAAACTAAAAATTTTGCTCCTCGTTGACTTTAAAGAAGTGGAATTGATGATAATAGACAAAGGTGCAAAGCCTAACCTTGAAGAGTTACTTATTGGACCATACCCTCGATTGAAAGAGATTCCAATTGGAATTGAACATCTGAGAAACCTAAGGATTCTTAAGTTTTGTCTTATGTTGAAAGAAATTTGTTATATGATAAAAGACAAGAAGTGGAAGAAAGTTACCCAACATATACCGGAGGTCCGTGTCACTTTCAAAAAGGAAGGAGAGTTATTTCATGTCACTACTAAGTATTTCTTGTCTCTCTCACCCGTGAATTTTGAGCAATTTATTGAAAAATGGGTGTGAAGTAACAAGTCATTTCATCTGTGAACAACAGGTATTCTATTTAAATTATATAAAACTTACAGTGATCTTGATTTTATATCTTCTGTCAAATTGCAAAAGGAAAAATCTTATAATTTATTTTATTTAAAACATTTTTTTTTTTAAATTACCTTAATTAATTGATTAAGCTTCAGTTGTCGGAATCTGGTACCGGTAGCCAAGGATACCATCACCAAAATTTGTTTTGGCGATATTAGGTAACAATATTCGTATCAAAATAATTCAATTTGAACGATCTATCTATATCTACAATTAATTTTAGCAATATATGCAACGTTTGGCCAGGATATGACGGAGATATTTCGTGTGGCCACACTTTCTTGGTCAGATCTCGGCCAAACGCAATCATTTTTCTAGTTTAAAATTATATAAATAGATAGATCGTTTAGAGACGCTCGTTTTAATATCAATTTTGTTACCATAACATGCCAAAAAAATCTCCGGTTACGGAAACCACCCACTGCCGCTGGATACGTGCGACTAGCTAATGAAATTCTTACACATATTAACGCTTTAGAACATAATATCAAGTGAAGTATGAGTTTTTTGTTATCCTATAAATAACTAAGACTTGTGTTTTTTCTATTATCATGAACAGAAGATGTATCTTGGATTGTGAGAAGATCATGATTAAATCCTCCTCCACTTGAATAAACCAGGTCATTCTAAGATTTTATGTACTTCTTTCTTGTAAATTTGTAGTCTTGGTGGCGGTATCTAGCAATGTGTGATTGTTGTATTGTACGGGTAACACTAGTAGAGATGAAGTATTAGTTGCAATTGTTCATCAATTTCCTTGTGTAATATGTAAAATACATTTGATTTGCTCATGTTAATGTAATGGTTGTTTTGTTTGTTAATTTATATCTACCATGACCAAATAAATGGAAACATGGTAAATCAAGTACTTTCTTGAACTTCAATTGTAAGTAGCCACCAATAAACTTCCATTGAAAAGTCCCAACACAGTTTTATTCCATGAACCTGCATGTACTTGATTTATTTGTTTCATGTTATGCGTTTTGCCTATTCCATTTTCCTTTTGTTGGTTTAAACCTTGGTGGAAAGCTTGGCTAATCAAGAACAGAGTCCCCTGTTTTCCTCTATTCCCCTTTAACAAATTCCTCACATATTTCTCTCATCCACATATTTCATTTTGAACATCTTTTGGTACGAACGTGGTCTTCGCCTTGCAACCTATCTTGGTCTTTATCTTGCGACCTATATTGAGATGTTTAAACGGAACGGTTGGATTCTGTTGAGGGAAACCTGCCTCTTCACACACAAGTGTAAACTTTGGAAAATTCAGATGGTTTTATTCATGTACAGCAGCTCATTTCTATGCACTGCCTTTAACTAATAAAACAAACAAATAGATATCCTAGCCTTAAGAGTAAGGATCTAACACTGACTAAATCCCCGTTTATTCTAGCTAAACTACTAACCACCCAAAATACGAATTCAACATAACATGTTACTGCCCTTCATATGTGCTGCTTTTGTAACATCTTCCCGTTTGAGATGGCTTACCAGATGTGAGAGACGTGTACCTGGTGTTATCTTTCTCAAGCAGTAAATTTAATGATTTGAAGCATCACGGAATTTATCTTGGATTCATGGGGAGATTAGCAATTTGCATGCACAGAAACCAAAACTTCAATCCAAACAACTTTTAGTCTGAATTTCAGATTGGAAATGTATCCCCATATATATTAGGGAATAAATGAATTAGCTAAGATATTTCCCATATCTGTACTCTTATCATCTGGAGGTCTGAATCAAGTCGACCATATCAATTGAGGGAAGAAGCTTTCCAGATTGAAGATGTCATCGATGAGTACAGAATGAAGGCAGCGATACTTCCTCATGGCAGAGGTCTCGTTGGTTACTTTCATAAAGCGTGCTACTTCAAAGAGATTCTAAAACTGCGACATGAAATCGCCACTGAGATCAAAGACATCAAACTATCACTTGCCGTAAATACAACGAAGAGGAGATATCTACAGCTGACGTAGAAATATGCATCCATTGAGTCGTCCCTGATATTTAATCTAATAACAAATATCCCCTGAGTTACTGAAAAATGACAAAAGATACTCTTAGGGGGCGTTTGGTTCAAGAATGTTAGATTACTAGGAATGTTGGATTACTGGAAAGATAGATTACATTGAAAGATTACTGGGAATCTTTAAGAAAATGTGTTTGGTTAGTTGGTGGGTATGTTATATTAATATGGTTGGTTATGGGGAATAAATTGGTGGGTATGTTATTTAAATTACTAAATTGTCCCCTTTACAAATATTAATATAATATTATTTTTATTATTAATTTTTGAATAATTTCTTTTAACCCCCAATATTTCAGATTTAGTTAAAACACCCCTGCTTATATAAAACTTTAATTTATTACGAAATCACCCCCACCTCCTGCCGCCACCGCAGATCACCGTCGAAAGTCTCCGAAAGTCCCCATCAGCAACTCACCGTGACCAAGAGGCTTCGATATGGCCGTTTGCCAGATTTGGCCATTATCGGCTAGATCTGGGCGAGATTTGGCTGTTAACAGCCAGGTCCGTGGTCGTTAACGGCGAGATCTGGCCAATAATGGCCAGGATCTGGCCATTAACGGCCAGATCTGGCCTGATATGGCCGGAAACGGCCATATCGAAGCCTACCACCCAAACTCGTTCTTTTTTAGGGACTCCGGCGAGTTTTTGGTGACGGTTCGTGATGGTTGGCCGCTGTCGGCGGTGGTGGCTGGGTGGCAGTTTAGGGTCTGTAAATTGTTTTAAATGTAAGGACATTATTGTCTAAAATTTTAGTTAAACAATGGTAAAATTGAAATAGGATATTAATGTAAATTTATTTTAAAATGAGGGCATTATTGTCCAAAATTTTCATTAATAAGGGATAAAACTGTAACAAAAAAAGATAACCCTGGTAATCTCAGAATACCTAAGAAAATAGAGGTAATTATATTACCTCCAATATTACCAATAGTAACTACTATTGGTATTTGAAGATTACCGGAATCTTATATTACTTGACAACCAAATGTGGTAATCAAGTAATATAAGATGACATTATCCCAATAATCTGACATTACACATTACCACCAACCAAACGCCCCCTTAACGTTATTGAGCCCTTATAATTTATGGCATCTGTTAGTGACGGTGACAAAGGAGTAAAGCCCAAAAATACCCCTAGAACTCAATTGAGAGATTTACGTGTTATTTAAACTTTCATCCTTTAGGTCTTGAGTATATATACAAACTGTTTAGAACAATCAGGTGAATGTTTTTAATAAAAGTCTATAATATCCCTGTTATCTTATTCATATATTTTTTAAAATGAATAAAATATACTTCTTTCGTTTTACAATAATAGTCGTTTTAAGACTATTATCTTTTTTAAAATAAAAGACGTTTAATCAATTCAACCCTCTCTCTCTTTCTCGACGATGGTTCCTGTCTCTTCTCTTCCATTTTTTCTCTGGCCCTCATCTCCTCTTTCTTTTTCTTTAAATTCAATAACATTTTCACAATTGTATATAGCGAGAAAACCAAAAATTTCCAACCTGCAATTTCAAAGGAAGAAGTCAATAAGAAGAGAGAGAAAATTGTTTTATTAAAAAGTGTGCATGATTGTGAAACGAAGAGAGTAAAAAAGTTAAAAATGACTCTTTACAATTATAAATTCAATAAATCATCAAAGTTAAAACACAAGTAACATAAATTTAAAACATTTGACTTTTTACTTTCTTTTTTATATTTCATTCGTTCCTAATTATATATTAATAAGGCAATAGGGGTATTATCGACTTTTAATTGAAAAATTTTACATGACTGGACTAAATTGTTCATACCCCATAGTATTTGAGGTAAGTACAATATACTCCAAACCTTAAGAACCAAAGTGTAAATAACTCAAGATTTTGTCAAATTTGGCACAAGAATAGGAAAAGACTAAAATGCCCCTATTGTTAACAGAAAGGTAACCGTTTCCTGCCTATTTAAACACCTAATTCCACAAAACCAATCAAAACAAAAAATTTCTTCCCAGAACAATTAAAACTAATTTTCACTAGAAATCCATATCCTAATGCTTTATTTTGATCTTGTATATGTAAATGTATCGTATGCATCTCACATACGACAACGTGTTGACCTGTGATTGTCAGTTTTCTGCTGTTTCTGCAATTTATTTATTTATTTTGTTATCTTTTCTTTTATTCTGACAATGTAACTAAGTTTTAACTTTTTTTTTTTTATTGAATTGAAAGGCTTTTATAAACAAAGAAGAAGCAGGTGCTATTTCTTAGATCACATTCAAATATCATCCAGTAATAGGTAATCAATTAAACTTAGCTTCTTTGGTAGTTATAATTTATTGTTAAACTGATGTGCTTATTTATCACTACAAGAAATATGAATTCCGACAACTATATATCTCATAACAAAATCATTGTAGTTTTGAATAAGTTAGTTACTGAATGCATTCTATTATAAGTATTCTGGAAATAGATTAGCTAGAAATTAATGTAGGTTGGATTAGATGTTTAATTCTATTTTTAATTTAAGACATAGGGATATATGCTTTGTTAAAATTGTATTAAGCGAACCTTGATGATATGAAAAAAAAATCATATATTGATAGAAAAAATTTAAATAAATTTAATAAATCATATTATGCTTTCCCAATTACAAGATATGTTATGAATTAAAACAGAAAAGGCAAAATAATAATAATAATAATACTAGTGGGGCTGAAATTTTAGAAACTTTTGATATCAATGCAGTGAGTAACAAGAAAAAGGTGAGATAAGAGATATGGCAGAGGGTGCAGTGAACTCTGTACTACAAATCTTGAGTTCTTTGCTTGTCCAAGAATCAAGTTGTTGGGAAATGCAAAAAAAGGAGTTGAAGACATCCAACGTGAACTGGAGAGCATCAGATCTTT